TTTTCTTCTTCAACGGTCCATTAGCACCCTTTCTTTCATGGTTGCAATCGAGTAGTTTGCATCTAATGTGGTGAGATCGGAACGAGGGGAATAGCTATTGAAAATAATTGTGCTGGGCTCCTGTTACACCGGAAAAATTGCACATTGCCGGCACCAGGAATGCTGACAATATGCAATTTTGTCATTAATTCAATTGCATGCCTATTAATGGACGAATGCGGTGCACTGTGGCGCGGCTTGCCACGCGGGCAGTTCGGGGCTCAAAAAATCTAGTATACCTCGTTTATCAGTCACCAGGGGGGACGAAAACTTCGGCTTCCACAGCGGCTGATTCCCGAAGTTTATTCTTCAAACCGAACCTCATTCTCTCAAAATGTGATTCGGAACCCCTCAAGGCGCTGCTCGGCCAATGACACTCAATCACTTCATCAAAATTGCCCATTCTCCTGTCAACGTGTTGACTGCCCTTGAGTGTCACTGTGAGTGCAAGTAAACATGATGTTCAGGGATAATTCTTGAAATCCGTTAGCTGGCTCCATAGGTTGCCATTTTTAAGACTAAATTTATTGAGATCTAAAATTTATTAAGATGTTAAGATAAAATATATTTAAGATCGGAGCTAATATGAAGTCGAACGGTAGTTTATGTTAAAGATGACAACGCAAATGAGATGATATTGAAATGAAATGCGTTATCTAGAATATGGTTTAAGTGATCTCTATGTTCCTACGCATATCGTAATTATCGGCCCTTATCGGCCCTTATCACTTCCTGTACCCCACCGAACATGTTCCCGTCCCACCCTGTACATCACTTCTTGGAACCAACGCCCCACTGCTGCTGGGACGCGCGCTATGAATTTCGTGAAATTTGCGTTCAGCGCCTCTTATCAGATCTTATCAGCTGTTATCACTTTCTGACCCCCATAAATATGTTCCCTATAGCACCACACAAAACAATTACATGCAGCTGTTGTCTGGAACTTCACTCCTTCGATGAGATCGTACGCTGTTGATGGCGTTCCTATTTCTGCAGTTGAATCTGTCCGAGACCTCGGTTTTCAGTACAACAATAAGTTGGACTTCACGGAGCACATCAAAGCCAAGGTCAGAATGGCTAATTTACGAACTTTTCAAATTTTTAAGGGTCTATCCTTAGCTAATAAAGGTGCTTTGCTGCGTGCTTACAAGTCGTATGTGCGACCCCTGGTTGAATCCGGCACCGCGGTATTCAACACCACAAGGAGGAAGCATGTCTATGCGCTTGAGAAGGTTCAGAATAACTTTACTCGTAAACTGCTTATTCGAATTGGTGGGTTTTTGTACTCTAAAATACCAAAGGCAGCTATTAGGAATCGGTATCTTGGACTTACATCTTTAGAAGTAAGGCGCAGAGTTTTCGACCTCTGTTTAGTTCATAAGCTGGTTCAGGGCACGTGTGGTTACGGTGCCTCCGATGTATTCAAATTAAGATATTCGAGAACAAGGGGAGGCTCGATGAAGATCTCGTTGACACGGCCTAAAACTAACTTACGGGCACGAAGCTTCACCTTTAGGGCCGCTAGCGACTATTTGAAGTTATTGAAACATATACCCGCCACTCTATCGCTGGCGCAATTTAAACGCCATGTGTCAATTTGCTGGTAGGCAGTGGCGGGTCCTAGTGTT